AGCAAACACTCTCTGAAGGTTTGGAGAGTACATGGCCAAAATGTTGCAGGGGAAAAATAAGTAACATAAAATGAGGAAATTAGAAGATATACAGACTGTCATGATGTTTAGTAGCAACATTAGCGAGTTGCTACTCAGAAAATCTGTTGGCCTCATAACTATTTGAGTTTGTGTCTCATGTCCATGTTCAAATGATCAAGCTTTGTAAATTACCTATCATTATACACACCAGACAAATTAGGAATAATCTCTATTCAAACTTGTAATTGAACTTTGTGCATTTGTCTAAAGCTTAACATCTCAACAAGTCTTTGAATCCTTTTTAGTTAGTTTGTTCACAGGGTTCAACTTATAATTATTAACTTAAGATTGCTTTCTTTGGCAGGTCATTGTGGTCTTTCAAATATGCATCATATCTGCAAAATATAGTATTTGATTACAAATATTATTTTGATACTTCTGTGTATTAAACACATAGTAATTTATACAGATTGTGACAGAAATACCTTCTCCATATACATTCCAAAAAGACTTTCTACATAATGGTATGACATTAGCTAGATGAAGACACCTTTATGTGGAAAGTATTTCTGCTGCACCCTGTATTTATTTTAAAAAGAAAAAAAAAAATTCTAAACACAGTTGATATGGTATCTGCCTGAAAAGAAAATTATTAGTCATACAAAATGAAAGGAAATAAGAGAGAAAGTACCAGTTATACATGGTTTTATTTTGCTTGATAACTATAAACTTTACAGGTTTGTACACTTTAAATGAGAAGCATCTGAAATTGCCTATATTATGATCATGAGATCATATTTGAAAATGCCTTTGTTATACTAAAAATTAAAGTCAATTTTTTTAGCCCCAATTGTGTTCTGTAATATTTAGAAGTGATTGTATTGTGCTAACTATTGCTTTCTTTGATACTTACCAGGGAATTTACCTCAATATGATTGATTGGTTGAATTTTAATAACAAATCAATGAAAATTACACTTTTTTCCCCCCCCTAATGGTAATATTAACTGTTTCCCTATGAGGAAACATTTGGCATTGAAACAGCCAGTACTGCTTTTCATTGAAATTTATGGAATTTTTCCCTTGAAAACAATTTTTTAGGAAAACTGGTTTCTCATGCCCAGTAGCTGTCCTCACTCTGTCCAGTATTGATGGGGGCTCTTTTTTAACTGTTTATTTGAAGTAGTGTTGAATGTTAGCATCATGATGTCATTATTTTCTCTTTGAGCTATATCTGCTATCCATTTTAGCTGTTGCAGCTGTTGGTAGCCCTCAATTGACTTTCTGCTATTTGGTACAGGTCTTTGTAAATCTGTATTGCCAGTCTACAATGTTCAGAGAGAGATGATCTTTAACAAGGTGCTGAGGTTTCACTCATTCAAAGCCTTTTTTCATCACTGATCTGAGAAAGTGATTATATACAGCTGAGAGCCTAGATATTTCTGAACAGATTTGATGTCATGAATGACATCCATGTGAAAGTTTTGATCTAACAGGACTTTAAGCATATGACTTAAGTATTCAGGTTGATGTTTTGGTTTAGTAGCAATTTCTGACACTGAGTGAAACTATCTTTGGGGTAGCCTATTCTATGTTTAATTTCCTTTTCTCCAATACTTAATTTGTTGTAACAGCCATACGCCAAATGAAATGTTTATATTTACTAATTCCATATCCTGAATATTTATGCTGGATTCAGAGTAAGTGGCATCACTGCTTTCATTGCAATTCCAGATTGTATCCAAAATAAAACCTGAATTAATTTTGATTTATTATATATATATATATATATATATATATATATATATATATATTACATTCTGATGCTATAAGTAAGTAATATTTATTTCAAATCAGATTAATTTGTCTTTAAATTTGCTAATTTTACTCAAATAACATCTCACAAATATATATTTCATTTTTGGAAGATTTTTAAAACTAATACTTTTGTTTTGTTTGAAATTTCTTAAAATTAAGAAAAGGCTGCTTTTAAGCCATTTTTTTTAAATTGATCAAATATTTGACATTCCAATCTATATACTTTCTATCTGAAATATGCCAGAATATTTTACATACTGGAAATAGTAAATTTAATAAGTTACCTTTCAATTAAAGCTAAAATGAAATCTTCCAAGAATGCTTTTTTTATTTTAAAATTCTTTTTAAAACTTAGGTGGTGAAAATTCTGTAATAAGTAATATCTGATGGTGTGTATATATATATATATATATATATATATATATATATATATATATATATATATATATAAAATATATATAGTAAAAAAACAAATAACCTTATAATTGAAAATGCTTTACCAACAGATTTGAAATACATTACTTTACAATTAATAAATAAGAAAATGTGAAAGAATTAAAATCACAGTAAATGTTATTAAAAGAATTTTTGAATATAAATAATAATAGATAAAGAAACCAGTGATAATGAGCTAATAGTCAAAGATAAACAAAATAAACATTGCAACTATAAAAGCTTTCCTCCAGTTTTGAAAATTACAACCAAATCGTAAAAACAGAAATATTACGTTTCAATTTAAATAGATTAGAATATAGAATTATTTATGCCACTATATAATAAAACAAATACAATGCATTATGTTAAGTCTTAGCAAGATTTTCCTTATATATATATATATATATATATATATATATATATATATATATATATTGCAGTTACCTGCCCTTTGTACGTCCTATGAATTTTCTCATTTTGATTTTTTCTTCTAAATCCTCTTTTGCCATCATCCCTTTACACAATCTCATTAGTAGGATATGTGCTGTTTTCCTTTCTTCATTGGCTTCATTATATTTTACAAGTATCAAATTTTCCTGTCCCCATCCCCTCATTAAGTGACCTAGAAATTTCAGTTCTTTTTTTAATGCTAAATGTCTTTTGTTTCCATTTTCTCTAAAATCTTGTTAACATGTTCAGTCCATGGTATACTCATCATCCTTCTGTATAACCACATTTCTGTTGCTTCATGTCTTTTCTTCATCTGTGATGACATTGTCCAGTATTCACTACAGTATAAGTGGATATAACAGTTAAGTACTCTTCTTTTCTAACAAGACTTTCCTGTTACTTAATAATTAAATTTTGGAAGATTCCTTTTTGCTATTCCAGTGTCCCTTTAGATTTCAGTGTTCCACCTTCTTTCCTCTATTAAAGCACTTCATAGATATTTAAATAGTATCTGTTTGATTTTAGTATTTCCAAATTGTAATCTGCATGTTAGATTGTTCCTTTTGCTTACGACCATACTTTTTATCTTCTTGCAATTAATGTTTAGTCTTCTCACTTTCCTTCACTAACTTCTGTAGAAGTTCTTATAGTTACCTTTCTGTTTCTATCAACAATCTGTCATCTCGGTATCTTATGTTAAGATTGTGTGTCACTGATAATAAATCCTGGTAATACTTTTGTCTCAGAATTGCCTTGCTGTATAGGTTGAATTAAATCTGGTGAGAAGACACATCTTTGTCTTACACCCATTTCTGTTTTAGTGTATTTACTGAATTAATTTTCAGTCTGTATACAGGCGGTTTGCTCCAACTATAGATTCTGGATTATTTTAATATCTTTTCTCAATATGTCATGGTTACCTAGCAGTTCTAAGAATTTTTTGTGCATTATCAAGTGTTTTTGCATAATCTATAAAACATAGGTATATATCCTTTTGTATTTGAATTACTCTTTCTGATATTGTTCTGAGCATAAATATTGCATTTCTTGTTCCAGTGTCTTTAACAAAACTGCATTCTTCTCATCTTATTTCTCATCTAATTCTGCTGCACACTCTGTTCATCAGATTTTGGATGATGAGTTTTGTTGTATGGCTCCTTAGACAGATTGTCTGATGGAGTTCACATTTGTTTGTATCTGGCTTCTTGAGCATTTCTATGACAATTGATCTCCCTAGGACTGGTATATCACCAGTTTTTTTTTTTTTTTTTTTTTCATTTATTATGTCTGTAATTTTGCCAATACCAAAATCATCTAAGACTGCCAGTATTGATATTACAATTCTGTCTGATCCTGCTACTTTGTTTCAGTTCAATTTGGCCAGTGCTGATTTCACTTCAGATTTTAAAGTCATTTAAATTTTATTAAAAAAATCTCTTTGCATAAATTATACATTTCCGTATTCTCTTAAGTGTACATGCTGGATAAGTGTACAATTTCAAATGGAATTGGTTTTTATGATTTAGAAAAAAACACTTTTTCAACTGTTAATTTCAATCTGCTTGGGAATATCTGCTCAATTTTTCCCCACTTCCCTTTTATAGGCAGAACTCCACAAATGAATGCTGGGATATTTTTCTTAGCCAATAAAATAAATAGGTTGGTTTACAATTTGATATGAGTCAGTCCAGATCTGCCAAGTCAGGCAGTTTACTGCCAGGCTTGCTGCTGGCTTGTCAAACACTGCCTTTGGACAGAGAGGAAGCCAGACAGGGCTATCCCAGAGGGCAGTGTCATGTCTAGGGAAGTAAACAAACTTGACCCTGTATATGTGGAATCTATAGAGAATTTTTGACAGAGCCTATGGGCTTGGAAACACCCTCACATAAAAAACAGCTTGTGCTACATCCTGCCTTGTGGGAAGGCTAAGGTAAATGACCTCAGTCCCTGATCTGCCTTGTCTAGAAGACAGACCACTGCATTCGCTTGTCTGACCTTGCTTTTGTGTGTAGACACCAATTTGTAATTTGTAAATTTTTTACCTTCTTTTAATGCAAAAGTTCCCAAAGCACAATATTTTTTGTGTAAACTTTGGAAAGTCTGAGTAATCCTTAACAGTCCGTAGATTCAATCTGTAATTTCACAAAAGAAAATAGTTAGAATTTAGTTCTTACTGTGAACTCTGTTGCAGTTGTTTGGGACAGTCTTTTTGTAGTTTGTCAGTGTGGTAGCTTTTTGCATGTGGACTCGAATGGGGCCTTGACCTCCGTGCATCTCATGTCAAAATTTTGCACCCTGCCCCTCCTCTATCTCTCTATCTCTCTCTCTATCTCTCTCTCTCTCTCTCTATCTATCTATCTATCTCTCTCTCTCTATCTATCTCTCTCTCTCTATCTATCTCTCTCTATCTATCTATCTATCTATCTCTCTCTCTCTCTCTATCTCTCTCTCTCACATTATTTCATATATATATATATATATATATATACACACCAGTGTGAAGACTTATTCCCTTTAGTTAATGTTTTAATTTCTATATTTACTTATGACTCATCCATATGCACAGATGGATTTAATGACTTCTTATTAACATGTAATAATTATTATTTTTTTTTTTTAATATATCTATAGGTTGTGTTCTAATCTGGCTCCTGATGAAGATTAGGGATTGGTTACTTGAAATTTGATTAACATGAAGTTGTTCACTACAAGACCTATTTCAACTTTCTATATAGAAATGTTGTTATAAATTAGTCTTAGCTTTTCATCAGTACCATAGATATATATTTTTACATTGTGAATAATCTAGTTCAAATCACTGTTATTGAAAATTTTCTTGTATTTATAAAACATATAATAGCAATAAATATAAAATAGATATTAGAAATGCAAATAAAATGTAAATAATAGCCTGCCTCTGAGTTTCATTTGATAAAAATAGATATATCAATTGCTCAGGTAGTGATTAATCCTTCTTGCTGAAGAGAAAAAAATATTAATTGCAATACTAATCTTCCTTGACCAGATAAATAAATGAATGATTGATTTTTTTTCTTTTTTTTTTTAATGACTTATTTCATACTTATAGGTTATTTAAAGCCAGAATATATTTTTATTTTTTTAATTTTTTAATTTTTTTTTAGATAATAATGGTTTAGTTAATACAAGTCTTACAATTTAATCCATAGCTGGGGGGAAGGTGAATTTGTACCTTCCACAAGGGTATTTGCACATAAGTGTATATAACAAACACAACAGGAATTGGAATTTGGCTCTCTGATTAACAATTCTGAGACGCTATCCATTACACTACCTGTACATCCAAGCTCACAGCACCTGGTATTCCCAAGTGGTGGTCATCCATCGAAGAACTGACCAGAGTTGACATTGCTTAACTTCCATGATCGTACAGGAACTGATGTTTCAATGTGATGTGACCATAAGCCTTAAGCAAATGAATTGCCCAAAATAGTTGTTTGCTTTTTCATTACCATTGATTCATTAATGCAATAAATCATACTTTTAGTTACATTTAGATAATTGATGTTTTTTTAATTGGTTGTAAGATTTCACTTACCTTCATTCACTGTTTTTTTTTTTTTGTTTTTTTTTTTCCTCATATTTTAAAGTTTGTGTGATACTTATTAAAATTTATAAGTCCCTTCATCTTTTTCTCAGCATTGCAATATTTACCTTTTTCAATATTTTAAAGAACAAATATCTTTATTAGAGAAGCCATGTTACTTGCCCCAATCTCAACTGCCAAATAGCCTCTACAAACTATTATTGGCTATCTCCGTCTCTGGCTATTGCTAACAACTTCTCTCCACTGAATGAAGAAACATTTAAGCACAGTTATTATTACTATCTGAGAAATTTTCCCCCACAGGATTCTTATAATGTTAATTATGTCTTTCTCTTGTCATTATTAAGTGGACTTTATTCTGATTTATGGTCACTTGCTGAATATAAGCACAAGTAAACCAGCAAAGAGAACAAGCTGTCTTCTTCTGCAAGGCATTACAAGTTGTCTGCAATAGATTGTAATGTAGATGTCATTGCTAAGCCTGTAAAAGGTTTTGGTGGCAGGTTGCAGTAATGTACTTGAATATAAAAATACCCTTTTAACCTACACTAGACTGTTATCTGACTTGATGGTAGGTAAATAGATTGGCCATGGGCATTGTTATGTCTTTGTAATTCAGTTTTTACTTTAAATGTACAGATAAAATTGTTCACAGTTCCGTCTTGCAGATAAAATTTTTTTTTATCCCTAACTTGTATGATTTTTCTTTTAATTCTTATTTAATAGCATTTAAAATGAGAATTTAGTTTAAAATTTGAATATCTTATAAAAAAAAAAAAATTTTTCTGTATATTTAAATGTTTGTCACCATTCAAGTTTTGCATGTTTTTGATTTTATATTTCTTCTACAGGTTTTCTTTATTTCACATATCTTCATTTTTTATCAGAAAATGCTGATAAAAATTGAAGTTTAGGAGATTTTACTGAAACCTCGAAGTTTAGGAGATTTTACTGAAACCTCGAAGTTTAGGAGATTTTACTGAAACCTCGAAGTTTAGGAGATTTTACTGAAACCTCGAAGTTTAGGAGATTTTACTGAAACCTCGAAGTTTAGGAGATTTTACTGAAACCTCGAAGTTTAGGAGATTTTACTGAAACCTCGAAGTTTAGGAGATTTTACTGAAACCTCGAAGTTTAGGAGATTTTACTGAAACCTCGAAGTTTAGGAGATTTTACTGAAACCTCGAAGTTTAGGAGATTTTACTGAAACCTCAAGTTTGGGAGATTTTACTGAAACCTCGAGTTTAGGAGATTTTGCTGAAACCTCGAAGTTTAGGAGATTTTACTGAAACCTCGAGTTTGGGAGATTTTACTGAAACCTCCTGAAACCTCGTTTGGGAGATTTTACTGAAACCTCGAAGTTTAGGAGATTTTACTGAAACCTCGAGTTTAGGAGATTTTACTGAAACCTCAAGTTTAGGAGATTTTACTGAAACCTCAAGTTTAGGAGATTTTACTGAAACCTCGAAGTTTGGGAGATTTTACTGAAACCTCTTTGGAGATTTTATTGAAACCTCAAGTTTAGGAGATTTTACTGAAACCTCGAGTTTGGGAGATTTTACTGAAACCTCAAGTTTAGGGAGATTTTACTGAAAATCTCGAGTTTAGGAGATTTTGCAAACCTCAAGTTTAGAGATTTTACTGAAACCTCGAGTTTAGGAGATTTTACTGAAACCTCCTCAAGTTTAGGAGATTTTACTGAAACCTCGAAGTTTGGGAGATTTTACTGAAACCTCGAGTTTAGGAGATTTTACTGAAACCTCGAGTTTGGGAGATTTTACTGAAACCTCGAAGTTTAGGAGATTTTACTGAAACCTCAAGTTTAGGAGATTTTACTGAAACCTCCCGGTTTAGGAGATTTTACTGAAACCTCAAGTTTAGGAGATTTTACTGAAACCTCGAAGTTTAGGAGATTTTACTGAAACCTCGAAGTTTGGGAGATTTTACTGAAAACCTCGAGTTTTGGAGATTTTACTGAAACCTCAAGTTTAGGAGATTTTACTGAAACCTCGAAGTTTGGGAGATTTTACTGAAACCTCGGGTTTAGGAGATTTTACTGAAACCTCGAAGTTTAGGAGATTTTACTGAAACCTCGAAGTTTAGGAGATTTTACTGAAACCTCGAAGTTTAGGAGATTTTACTGAAACCTCGAAGTTTAGGAGATTTTACTGAAACCTTATTTGTAAATGTATTTAATATTTTAAAATTGAGTTGACAAATTGAATTAAAGTGAAATGTTTTATATATTTAAATTTCCTTTTCTATATTTTTGAGAGAAAAAACAATGTAAAAAGTAAAAGGAATTTTCTGTTGCACTTTTTAGTACATGTTTTGTAAATGGGTGGAATAGTTTTCAAATTTACTAGGAAATAAATTTTCTTAATATTTTCTCTATTTTTACTTTCTATTTATTACTACTACTAATAGTAATAAAAACTAGAGAACTCTTTTATACAAATTGTCTCTAGTTTTTCTTCATTTTATCTATGATAATATTAGCAAGAACTAATGGAATTCCAATAAAACTGTTTCTGCAAAGTTCTTTGAGTTTGGATAGTTGATTGCTACCTAGCTTGTAAAATAGCAGTAAGGCAACCAAACTAAAATGATAGCTGATCATTGTCCTCATCCTTTAGCAGAATTTATGAATGTTTTTTATTCAGTTTATTTTTGTCTATTTTTGTTATATTTGAAAAATGTCTTGAAATGAAAATAGTATTCAATAGACAAGAATTGATTTATCTCACTAGATCTCATTCCAGATTATCTTGTTTATACACCGATTGCAATTTCTTGAGTACAATAGGTTAAATTAGTTTAACAGTAAATAGCACAAAGTAAAATACACCAAGAAATTTTTGTCAATATTTCTATCAATAGTATTTGAATTACTAACTGGAAAATTGTTTTTTCTATGGTTTGTAATAAGGATTTTTATCTGTTAGTCAAATTATGATAATAACTTTTAATCTTTAGTCCTGTATTGTAACAAGTGAATTATATGCACAGATGCTTTAAATTTTATATAAAATATGAATTTGTTGGATAATGAGTATAAAATATGCATAAAGTATTTTTATTTTAAATTAAGCTTTTACAAACAGGTAACTCATTTAACATATTTCATCCTTACTTTGTGGATGTTTATAATTTTAATTAAAAAATATTTTTTTTAATTATGAGTTTCAAATAATTATTGGACATCCCCTGTTTTAAGCAAAAATTGTTACTTTGTCAAATAAATGACAAAATATAATTTAGTCTCCATATTTGCAAAAAACATGGAAAACTTGAATTTATGAAAACTTTTCAAAAGACCACTAGATCAAGTGTGTTTTCTTCTTAATATTGGGTCTATTAGTTTAAAATTTAACAGGTACAAAAAGAACCAAGAAAGGAGTAGCTTTGGTATCAGTGTAAGATATCGGGGGGGGGGTTGTCTTTTAGATAAGATATTTATAAAACTTAGCCTAGTTTAGTACACGAAGAAATTTATATTTCTTCATGTTGTGCCAATCTTTCAAATGAAAATGGTTTGCATTGAAATTTGCATTCACAATCATGACTTTTACCTGTGGTTGATTTGGCCATGGCCACCAGTTAGACAACTATAATGATCTCAGCAAGCCAGTCTTATTTATAAAATCTAAAATTAATATTTATTAAAAGATACAACTACTATTATTGTATATAATGGATAATAAGTATAAAGGTAAATATGGTGTTTCTTATTTTCATTTGATTTTTAAAATTCTTTAAACAAAAAGAAAATTGTTACTTTTTTTCTAGTCTGTTAATATGCAGATAGTGTTGAAATTAATTAGCAAATCCATTTTTGATATTGTAAAGATTCAGATTTTTACAATACATAATTTGTTTTTCCATGCTTATAAATTAGGAAGATTATTGAT